CAGCAGTCAGTAGAACTTAAAACAATAACATATTTAAATGATAACAGCACGGTTTATTATCGGTGAGCCGGGTGAGGGGGTGACGTGCGACTCGTGTCCGCCCTTGCACATCAAAACAATCCCCAAGGCTGCTTTCACTAACCGTGTAATATTAACGCGTCAATTTTACATATTTATTCTTTATTCGTCAAACGCAATCGCATATATAAAATAAAATTATTAAATAAATGTAAAACAGTTGCTTTTCATAGTAATATATTATGTGCGGTGCGGTGTTGTGAGAGAGACAGCGAAAGCTAGACGTAGACGATTCGAGAATCAACCGAAGGATGCACTGTCCCCCTCACATCACCCCTCCGCGTGCAGTCCAAATGCCCAATGACGACCGAATGGCATTGATCCGTGCACGATGCAGTGTGGTAAGGGGGACAGCGAAAGCTAGAAGCAAATGATTCGAAAATCAACCGAAAGTTGCACTGCCCCCCCCCCCCCCCCTCCGCGTGCAGTCAAAATCATAACAGTTGAATGGTTTAAATATCATACCAGTCAGCATTCGGAAGTTTTTAAAATAATTTTATTTAAAACATGTATTTCAAATATATATATGGAGGGGCGAGTGGAGGAGGTCCGGTGGGTCGAAGATGGTAAAGTAGTGAGTGGAAGGTGAGAGAGGATGTCAAAAAGTTGTAATAACGAAAAAAGTGAAAATACGGCGAAAGAGAGGAGCGGCGGGGGTGGGTGGTGGTGTCAGGGGAAGGGGCGGAGGCAGGATGTCCGGTGGACCGAAGATGGTGGTGTTGCGAGTGAAAGGTGAGAGAGAATGTTAATAAGTTGTAAAACGAAAAAGAGTGAATTACAGCGGAAGAGAGGGGTGGCGGGGGTTGGTGGTGGTGGAGAGGGGGAGGCAAGTAGTGGAGGTCCGGTGGGCCGATGATGGTGAAGGTGCGAGTGAAAGGTGAGAGAGGAAGTCAAAAAGTTGTAATAACGAAAAAGAGTGAATTACAGCGGAAGATAGGGGCGGCGGGGGTTGGTGGTGGTGGAGGGGGGGAGGCAAGTGGTGGAGGTCCGGTGGGCCGATGATGGTGAAGGTGCGAGTGAAAGGTGAGAGAGGAAGTCAAAAAGTTGTAAAACGAAAAAGAGTGAATTACAGCGGAAGAGAGGGGTGGCGGGGGTTGTTGGTGGTGGAGGGGGGGAGGCAAGTGGTGGAGGTCCGGTGGGCCGATGATGGTGAAGGTGCGAGTGAAAGGTGAGAGAGGAAGTCAAAAAGTTGTAATAACGAAAAAGAGTGAATTACAGTGGAAGAGAGGGGTGGCGGGGGTTGTTGGTGGGGGAGGGGGGGAGGCAAGTGGTGGAGGTCCGGTGGGCCGATGATGGTGAAGGTGCGAGTGAAAGGTGAGAGAGGAAGTCAAAAAGTTGTAATAACGAAAAAGAGTGAATTACAGTGGAAGAGAGGGGTGGCGGGGGTTGGTGGTGGTGGAGAGGGGGAGGCAAGTAGTGGAGGTCCGGTGGGCCGATGATGGTGAAGGTGCGAGTGAAAGGTGAGAGAGGAAGTCAAAAAGTTGTAATAACGAAAAAGAGTGAATTACAGCGGAAGAGAGGGGTGGCGGGGGTTGGTGGTGGTGGAGGGGGGGAGGCAAGTGGTGGAGGTCCGGTGGGCCGATGATGGTGAAGGTGCGAGTGAAAGGTGAGAGAGGAAGTCAAAAAGTTGTAAAACGAAAAAGAGTGAATTACAGCGGAAGAGAGGGGTGGCGGGGGTTGGTGGTGGTGGAGGGGGGGAGGCAAGTGGTGGAGGTCCGGTGGGCCGATGATGGTGAAGGTGCGAGTGAAAGGTGAGAGAGGAAGTCAAAAAGTTGTAATAACGAAAAAGAGTGAATTACAGCGGAAGAGAGGGGTGGCGGGGGTTGGTGGTGGTGGAGGGGGGGAGGCAAGTGGTGGAGGTCCGGTGGGCCGATGATGGTGAAGGTGCGAGTGAAAGGTGAGAGAGGAAGTCAAAAAGTTGTAATAACGAAAAAGAGTGAATTACAGTGGAAGAGAGGGGTGGCGGGGGTTGTTGGTGGGGGGAGGGGGAGGAGCGAGTGGAGGAGGTCCGGTGGGCCAAAGATGGTGGAGGTGCGAGTGAAAGGTGAGAGAGGATGTTGAAAAGTTTAAAAATGCGGACAGAGAAGAAGAAGAAGAAGAAGAAGAAGAAGGAGAAGGAGACGTTTCTTAATTTTTCATTAAAATCACCACTTTTTGACCGCTTATATCTCCAGAACGGCTTGACCGATTTAAAATTTTTTTGGCTCAAATTACTCGTGGCGATGCCGCCTTTCAGGACATATGACGTTCGATTCAAAATTTTTTATATTTTAATAGTTATGCACCTCCCAAAAATGGACTTTGGTGGCTCGGGATAAGAGACTTGTAGCGTTCACAGTTTTTTTGAACATGGCCGGAGACGCTACCGCGTCTCCTGATTACTTGATATTTCACACACGCGCGCACGCACGCACGCACGCGGGCGGGTGCAAGGAGGTGGCCTTCGGCCACCCCCCCGCACCCACACCGTCGACAGAGGTCTGCTCCGACAGTACAATCATAGCTACAGTACAATCGTAGAAGTCGTGTGCCCCTTCGCTGGGGGTTGGGGGAGGTGAGAGTTACTTCACGTGCAAAGTTTAACGTTTCTAAATAGAAGAAGATGTAAAATAGTACTTGTTATAATACATGTATTGCAGAAATGATACGTTAATTTTAAAACTTTTTTTGTTGATAACTTTTTAACGGACAGTGACCGCCACCTAAAACCTGCGTGAGGTTACTTAGGGTCATGACCTTGACAACATATGTCAAGGTCAAGATCATCGGGGGGGGCTCCCCTTTTCTACATATTTACCCGAGAATCTCGAGAAGCGAGAATTTCAGCCCGTCGAGATGATAAAATGTTTTCAATCAATTGTTTTCCCGAAAAATAAATCTCGATATCGGTCTTTTCTCGTCTCGTCTTGCTCGAATGTATCACTAGGGACAGCGGAAAACGGAGGTGATCCGAAAATCGGCCGAAAGTTACATACACTTTACGTATGTTCACTTTGTACTGACATCTTTAATTAATAATATATCTGTTACGTCCAAAGGATTCTCACGATTCTTCCTTTCGGAAAGATCTAGAAGTGTCGGGATAGCGAGACAATAAATAAATAACCGACAGTCAGACTGTCGCTTTCCCAAAAATCTAAGTAAAAGTGTGACGGTGCATCCCCCATCGTCCCTGGCATTAATAACCGTCCGGACGCCGCTGCATCGCCACGCGGTGCAGCGATGAGGGCGCATAGCGCCCGACAAAGAAATAAAACATAATTCACAGGTACGCGACAGCAACCGTTACCGAGGACCGCCGAGTCCCGCCGAACTCGCTCAACGCGCGGAGTTCCCCACCACGCGACACTGTCAAACGCCGCAAAACGGCGAAGCGACGGGAAAACGCGAGGCGAGTCGAAACGATACGAGCGCGACAAATGTTGTAAAATAAAACGTCGCGCTCACGAGAAATCAACACATTCCGTTTCCAGCTCCGACAGGAATATCACCTCCGAAATCCCAGACAGCTTAAAACGCGAGTAGAATACCGAGCCAGAGAGTACTCTAGCCCGATCGAGCGTTCTCGATATATCGCAAGACAAGCACTCCTTTCCAGTACCGCTAAGCACGAAACAGGGATAGAGAGTGCTCTATCTCTGTCGGGAGTTCCCGACAGCCGACCTGGTACGGGTTCCTGACTCCGAGTTGACGCCCGGGGTAGAGGGTACTCTGCCTCCGCCGAGAGTTCTCGGTCGTCAACTCGAGTCACCAAAACTGCATATTCTGCCGCTACGAGTGACCAACAGTAGCCCGGGGTGGAGTGTTCTCCGCCTCTACCGAGTGTTCTCGGTCGTTGGTCATCGTACGCGCGCAACGACATAAGCCGCGACCATCCGCAGGCATCTGACATTCGTAATACCGTCGCGTATAGAAACACCGTAGATCAGCTGATCGCGAAATGCGAACTGTCTCGACACGCGATAGGAAAAACCGCTAAGCAAACACGGGCTGGGCTTTAAACGGCTCGGCTCCGTCTCGCGCCGCGAAGAGACAGAAAAACTGCTACACGATAAACACACACACACCGACACCGAACGTCCGCACATACACACATACGCAACACACATACACACACCGTCCGCTCGCCGACGTCTATCACGTCAGACACGACACAATAAACACACGCACACCGCATCGGCACACATACACACACATACATCATTTTCACCGTCGTCAAATCATATTGTACATAGCACTCATCTGTCTTTGTTTGTGAAATAAATCAATACGTTGTTTTAATCTTAATCACATATCTGAGATATTACTTGCACTCTCCCACCGATCGAACCTCTTTTTGAATCCTGCACCGTGAAATCCGACGAGCTACATCCGCGCATTCGAAAAGTTAGGTAGTTACAAAAGTACTCGCTAACTCGCCATAAATGTTATTCTAATAGCGTTTTCGATTGGAGTGCACTGGCTGCACTCAATGTCAAGAGCGTGTTCGATTGGCAGTGCCAATACGCACTTGGCGAGTGTCATGTGTTCATTTGACCGCACGACACTCGCATAGTGCGTACTCAGTGCGCACTAAGTGGCACGAGATATTTTGACGGTGCCAGTTAGTGCACTGGATACATATATAGAATATCAGTGCATTTGTCACAGTATAAAGGATATACAATAGGGAGAAGCAAATCTGCGCGGTTGAATCAAAAACAGGATCTTGTCCCTACTGTATATCTTTTATTGTGGTTTTGTCACGTTTTGTTGAACGTTATTTAGTGAATAAAATGAGTTCGGACTTAATCCTTTTCAACATTTTGGAAACATTTTTGGAATCTTCTTCAAGCTCAAGTGAGGAAGAAGAAATAATTACAACTTTCCGAACTAAAAGAATAATTCCAAAAATCATAAATTATGTGGAATGTGTAAAAAGAATGGAAAAAGACACTGTAAGTGTTATATCTTTTTATATAAGTACTTCTATATCTTTTTAAAAATATAATTACTGTACATAATACACCATTATTTATATTGAATAATAATTTTTATATTTGTCATAGTTCTGTAGGCATTTCAGACTGTGTCCAGAAACATGTGAACAATTAATAGATGGTTTTCAGCAATCAGATTTCTTCCCAAAAAATGAAATGCATGGTGGTAAATCAGCAGTATCTGCTGAAAAACATATATTATCATTTTTGTGGTCAGTACAGAACAATAAAACAGTTTATATAGTACATTTTTATAATATAACATTTTTATAATATTGTATAATTTTATTAATATTTATATAATATACTTACGTATGTTTTATAGGTTTGCAGGAAACAAATCATCGATGCGAGACGTAGCAGATCGATTCGATATAGCTATTTCAACCTGCGAAACAATTTTATCAAGAGTTATGAATTACCTTCTAAGCATAGCTACAGATATTATTAAATTTCCTAATAATGACAAAGAAAAAGACGAGCTGGCTTATCATTTTTCAAAGGTTACATCTTAAATAAATTTAGAAAATTACTTATTATTAATATAATAATTGTTATTAAAATAATAAATGATTATTCCTTTTCACAGATGTCAGGTTTCCCAAATGTAATAGGATGTATTGACGGATCGTACATAAACATTCGTACTCCTAAACATAAAATAAGATCTACTTATGCTAATCGATACGATAAAACGAGTCTTACATTACAAGGAATTTGTGATGATAAGAAGAGATTTATTGATGTCTTCACTGGAGTGATTGGCAAATTTCACGATAGCAGGACATTTACATTATCCTTCATAAGCAAAAATATTAGTGATATATGTCAAAATGGAAAGTATCATTTGTTAGGCGATAGTGCTTACCCATTAAGGGAATATCTTTTAACACCTCACAAAGATTATGGAAATCTTACTCAATCGCAAAGAATATACAATAAAAAACTTTGTGGAACTAGAGTGTGCATCGAAAATACATTTGGCTTGTTAAAATCACGATTTCGTCAGTTAATGGAATTACAATTTCACGATGTCAAAAAAATGTCAAAATTTATAATTTCGTGTTGCGTATTGCACAATTTATGTATTGATTTGAAGGATTTATTCGATCTAGAGTTAATAAACGAACTCAATGATGAAATGTTTAATATCGATGATTTTCAAGTTATGGGAGAAATGGAATTAAAAAGAAGAGGAGAGCAGAAGAGAAATGAAATATGTGATACCATTTCACAATAGTAAATAATAATTAAACAAGGTGAAGGACAATAGTAAATAAGTTATTTTTTTTAATTCAGAGGTTTTTGAAAATCTGTACATTTTATAAAAAATAAAAACACGAATAAAATGAAACAATATTACTTGTTGAATGTTTTTATATTTATAGCTCTTATATCTTAATTTTTTTTCCACATTGTACTTACATTCTTATTAATACATCAATCTATAACATTCTTTAAAATAAAATTAATAGAATTTCTTTAAAATAAATTCACTTTTTATAAATAAATTCAATCTTTAAAATGAAACAAACAAAAATAGTAATGAACATTACATAACAAAATATACATTTGGTAAAATATTTGGCAATAATGAAAGTGTCCCACAATTTACTCGGCTAACCCCGAGGGAGGGAATTTACAAATATATGAAAGTAAATTATTTGTTGGAAGTGTTTGGAAGATTATGTTCACTTTTCTTTTCGTAATATTTCTCACAAAATTGTTTAAACAATTCAAGTTTTTCTCGATGTCTTCGTTCTTTACCTTCTTCTTTTTTTTCATGTATTTCCTTTAAAGCAACTTCGATACTTTTATTAGAAATTTTGTTTTTCTTAGCTTTCGTCCTTATATCAGAAATATTTTCTTTGGTTTCATCCCCAAGATTAGATATTGCTCGTTTTTTGTTTAAGATTAAGTGTTTGGCGTCCATTAAAACCTATATTTATAAACAAAAATAATGTTAAAATTACAAAATATAATTAAAAAATATAGCTCTATTATTCATTAATATAATTTAAAAAATATATGATGGATTACATTTTAAAATTTAAATTATACCTCAGGTTCTATGCTATCATCCAATTGTATAATTTTTGATAACTCATTCTCATAAGGAACAGTCATTTTACTCCGCCCTGTACTTTTGTTGTTATCGATTGCCTTCTTCTTTCGTTTCATGATGGTCTTGTACCGATTTTCGCATTGCAGAGATGTTTTGGACACATCAAGAATATTTTTTAAGTCCGTTGCTATTTTCTCCCACATAATTTTCTTTGTTTTAAATTGTTTCATCGGACCAATCATAACCATATACTGACCATATTTATCTAGGAGTAATTTTGTTTCACCTTCACTCCATTCTGCTAAATCTTAAAATATTAAGTGTTATTAGATCTTTATATATTACATTGAATATCTACTATATTTTATTTATTTAGTTCAACATGTTGTGCCGCTATTTGCGACACGGGATTCGGGATCCACCAAGGATTCGGGAGCAGCAATTAAATAATCACTTCTTTTATTTTTTTTTGTAACTTTTATATATTAATAAACTTTATTATATTCACTTTAATACACAAAGATATTATTTCACACAAATCACTTACACTACGCGTGTCGCGATATAACTTTGGAACTTTGGAACGCTTCGAGCAGAGTGACGCGCTACAACTTGTTAAAATTACTGACTCCACTCTGCTTCGGTCTTCTCATATTTATTGAGGTCTGCGACCTTCTAATTCGGCGCTTCTCGTCAGCGTTCCGATAATCGGTCGAGGGCGTGATCGCGTAATCGCGTCGCGCTCGCGGTAAACATAACAATAACAAATGATTTATATATAGCTCTAACAAGATTGAAAATGTGTGATAGGCGATGTTATCTGTATTTTAATCGTGATTTTGATGCATGCCTATCGTTTCCTTTCTTTTTCAAGTAAGTTTCCAACTATTTAAAAACTTTTTTAATATAAATAGGTAAAATATTATGGACCTTTTACAATAAGCCATAGTTCATAAATTATAATTCATAAGCTTATAGAAATGGACCAATCATAATCGTCAATTTTTAGTTTCTTACTTCTGATTTATGACTTATGGCTTAGGCTGATTTTTCATATGCAGCACGCTGCGGCAGCAAAATGTCATGTGATACAAATTTGCGAGAACTGATTGGAAGTGCGGGAAGTGCGTCACCTCGCTAAAGATTTTTAACCAATAATAATATTTTGCTGCTGCAACGTGCTGCGCATGAAAAAGTATCTTTATTGTAGAAGGCCTATTAAAGTTAAGTAGCATAGTAAAAAATTTAGTTTATAATTTCTACAAAAAACAAAATATATTACTTTTGCTGTTATCAGTCTGATCTATTTGTGAATTTTCTTGCAATTCTTCCTGGACACTGCTACATCCAAAATGGGATTCAAAATTGTCAGTTTCTGTATCTGGATGATCGCAATTAATATGATTCATTATGGTATTATATGATCCAATAATTCCACAGAAACTGCACACGACGTCCAGTTTTTCCATCCTCTAATCCTAATGAAAAATATCAAATTTAGTAAAAAATTATAGGTTAGATTAATAAAAACTGTGCATTTTGTATGTAACTTAGCATGCAAATGTGTACAATTATTGATAAGTATGTACACATATATATATATATATTCTTGATACCTTACATATTTAATTACATATAATAAAATTTCATACTTAAAGTTATGAACATGAGATGTCGAGGTTATTTTTTAAGTTCTTCCTGCAATCTAGTCAAGTCCATGCCACCATCGTCAAGTCCTTACAACTCAAAATGGCGTTTCAGCTTTTGCACTGAAAATCTTGACGTGTTCTTTTGAACTTGCACTATTCAGTGCAACCCATGAAACTCGTCTAGTGTTGGTGTGAACTGAGTGCGCACTGGTGCGCACTAACTTTTTCCCAATCGAAAACGCTATAAGACAACTCATTTACGAGCGCACGTGCACGAATCGTGAGAACGCGAACCTTCTTTTCGAAATCTCGACTAGAAAAGTAATAAATATACACTCTACTGTCATCGAAAAACAGAAAAGCCATAAACATTCACTCTACTGTCAACGAAAAATGCAAAACTGGCGCCATAGCGCTTTTCTAACGGTCAAATCGCGGATGATTCTCACGAGTTGCGCTCGTAAAAATTAAAATCTGTCACACGGCGGCCTCGCGACAAAGAGTGCACGTGCATTTACTCGATGCAGCTCCTCGCGTAAATTAAGTAAGTAGGACCATAAATTTTAAGATAATGGTGACATCGGTCAAACTCCTTTCCACCCCCAAGACGCATCCTAATTCCCAACCAATCCCAGGGCGAGAAACTTAGCCCCTTCTTTAACTAAGAAAATCGGTTTTCCAATCAGAGCACGACAAATCGAAGGGAACCATTATAAAAACCCCGATTTTTGGGTGCTCGAGGCAGTTCATCGCAGTTCATCCGCGATTCATTGCCGTTCATCGTCGGGATTGTCAGAGCCAATCTTCCGAGACGTAAGTCCGAGTGGGTTGGCCGAGGCAATTCCCGAAGTTGCTCGAGGCAGTTTTTTAGTCAAAGTCAATCGTCCGAGACGTAAAAGTCCGAGTCGATTGACTGAGACCATTTCGGAGTAGTCGTTCAATCGAGCCTTACTGGTCAGTGCGGAATATTAAGTTTTGGTGCTCAAGCCTTAGCGCTCAGTGGGGACTAATTGAGCCCTGATATTTAGCCCCAAAATAATTGCGGCCATTTGGAGGTCCACCTCCCCCTTGAGGACGACTTTAAGGCTTGGATTCCCAGGGTCTACATCTCCAGAGAGACTTACCCGTTAGCACGACAACGCGAGCAGTAAGTCACCCTCTCTTTCATCTCTCTTGTCCCTCTATCTCTCCTGTCATTTATTCAATCCCCCCCCCCCTAAAAAAGAGGTGGGAATTTACCTTTAAATTTATTATTAGTGGAACATATCACCACAGACGGGACAATACCTCATTGCTCCACGGGGACCGAGCACCCGAACCGCCGCACTGCCCTCGTACTCCCTTTCACTGCCCAAGGCCGGGGACCTGATCATCCTTACTCCACTCCCGTATCCATGCTCACTGCCTTAAAATCTTTCACCCTTACCCCTCACCTTGCTCCTTCCAGTAATTGATCTTTTATTTATTTACGCAAGTCTAACACACACAAGTGTTCAAGATAAGAATATATGGTAAAAATGGAGATTAGGGGAGACCCCCCCCCCCCAATGACCTTGACCTTGACATATGTTGTCAAGGTCATGACCCTGAGTGACCTTGAAGAAGTTTTAACCATCGGACCTAACTTGTTAAAAAGTTATTAACAAAAAAAGTTTCAAAATTAACGTATGATTTCTGGAAAAGGTAAATGTTTCCCTTTACACAGTTAACCTCAAATGACTTCCGAGTGACCTTGACCTTGACCCTCAAGAAGGTCCAGGTCATTGACCATTCCCGTCGCTCGTTTTTCGTTGAAAAGTTATTAACCAAAAAAAAATTTAAAAATAACGTACTATTTCTGCGTGTGTGTATTCTGCGTACTATTTATGTGGATAATACAATAATATGTCTTTCCGGTAAATATCTAGAAAATGGGAAGCACTTACTTTTGTTGTAGCCCGCAAGTGCTACCACAATTAAGTCTCGCATTTCAGCCTAGCAACGAGCTGGCGGAAATGCAAGATTATTACTGCAAAGCAACCTTTGCATTTCGGCATAGCAACGACTTGCGGAAATGCAAGGCTGCAAATTCCATAACGCGTGCGGACAACGATCACTGATCGAACGCAAGCAACGACCGCACGCACATCGAACAATTATCAATAAAAAGCAAATCTTGCATTTCGACAGGACAACGAACTGCCGAAATGCAAGAGGACGAAGTCCCCATTGCACACGGCACGAATGCCGCCAGTTCGATGACTCCGCGACGCCTATATATTCGGCGGTCTAAGGACCGGCGGGAGAGTCTTGTCAAACATCTAAACGTAACGATACGTTACGCGCGTCGCGAGAACCGAGTCATATTACATCCGCGATAACGAGTGTCGCCGACCGGTCTAAGTCACGAGCGAGGACTTTAACCCGAATATGTTCTTTAATTAAATCAATTCGACAATTGTAACCAACTATTCGAATTGTAACATAAGCAACCAAAGTGTAATCATTCAATCGGGTAATTATAATAATTAAATAAAGGGTTAAATG